CCTCGCCTCCCAGCCGCCGGCCTGGGCAGCAGGTACAGGGACCCCTTGCCCCCCATCCTCTTTGGTGCCCCTCAGCCTCCTGCAGCGCTGGGTATCGCATGGGAGCGGGCTGGGGCAGGGAGGTGCCCTCGAGCCCTGCCTTGGGGATCGTGGCTGGAGAAGGGGTGGCAGTGGTGAAGATGGAGGGTGTCTCACCCCTTCCCACTTTTGCAGCAGGCAGCACTGCTGGGGGCTCCCCCACACTTGGCTTTGCGTTGCTTTGGCCCTGTGAGTAGGAAGTGTCACTGGTGCATATGCCCTGAGAGGTGCTGAGTTGCTGGGGACCAGGCTTTCCGTCCACCCTTCCAGTGCCTGTGCCAAGCTCTATTGGCGTTTGGGAGGCGTTCCCAGATTTTCATTGCCATGGGTGGCAATTTCAGGATGCGACTGGGAAGAAGCTGCTTTGGGACCGGGCTCTGGAATAGGCACCAGAATGCATCTGCTCCGTAGGTTGGCTTCCAGCCTGCTCTGGGGTGCTAAAGGGCTGGTATGATTTAACCTTTTGTTCCCATCCTCGGCAGGCCCTCTGTTAGAGAGTGAACTCTGCCACAGCTCCTGGATGGGTCTTAAGGCAACTGTGAAGAGTCCAGTCCTCAAGCCATGGATTTGCCTGCAGAAGTTTGCAAGGGAGAGCAGGCCATAGGAGGGAGCCAAGCCATTTTGTCACATTTTCTTCAGAAAGGGCAATTGGTTCATTAAAGTTGGTAAATGGACTGCTTGGGGTCTCTCTGTTAAGGGACACAGTACACCCTGGTAGAGAGTAGACAGCCATCTGCCACTATAGTTACAGGCCAGGTAAAAAATAAGAGGAGGATTTATACATGTTTGTTGTTATGGAGGGGTACAACGTACAGAAAAATTCTGTATTTTAGGATTCTTATCTTATGCCCTGCTAGACAGAGCAGTGCAAGTAGTCTGCCTCCCAGATTTTCCAGATGCACTTTAGGGTCTTATGTGCTTGTTGATACCAAGTAGTCACCTTTTTCTTTAGTATTTCATAGAGTGACTGCAGCGTTGGACTTTAGTCCTTTTTGAATCCATCCATAGTCTTCTTTACCCCAGAGTTGGAACGCACTTGGTTCGGGGCCAACCTGCCAGCTGAACTGTGTCCACTGAAGTTTGGAAAGTGTTTCTGCAGCTAATATCCCAGGTTTCCAGAGTGACTCCCTTTTAGTACTGAGTGAATGGGAGGTACTCTAGCACAGCAGTTCTCAACTTCTTGCCCCTTGTGTCCCACCAGCTGTTTTGTCAAAAAAACTCTGGTCACACCATGATAAAAACATAACATGATAAAAACAAAACCCCATTTTTTCCAAGAAGTATATTATTTTTTTTAATGTTTACATGCATTTTAGTATTTATATTAATCATTAATGGAAAATTTTAAAGACATTAGAAGTCCTACCTACACAACCTTCACATCCCACTAGAAACACTGCTCTAGCACGTACACCAGTATCTCTACAGCTCAAGGCAGCTCTTCGCAGAGATACTTGACCTAGCTCTGCATACCCTTGATGCAGAACTAGAAGTAGTGCAGCCATGTTAGTGCCTTGCTGTGCCCTGCTTCTCAGCCAGGATGATTATCCTTAGTGCTGCACTGTGCTAATACTTCCCATTCCAGAGCCAGGGCCTGCAATGCTAGTTTGGGTACCTCTATGTGGCACCACATTGTGCTGCACAGGTATAGGGATGATGGAAACTCATATGTGTCACAACCCAAGGGTGTGATTTTGTGTGCGCGCGTGCTTTGGCACTGCTAAATTATTTCCCGCCATGAGGAGCTTTCTTTGCAAGGTGCATTTCTCAGTTGCAAAGAGAAAACCCCGGTGCAAAGAAGTTCCCACCACCTGCATGCAAATTTGTGTCCCACTATTGGCCAGTTCTAAATTATTCCCGCGTGGCGGCTAGCGATTGGCTTGCTAGCCGTATAAGAGGCTTGAGCGGTTTCCGCCCAAGTTGGAAAACTCCAAGGAGAACCCCGCAAGGGAGGACTCCACAACCATCTGGAGGAGGAGGACTTCTTCGCGTCTTGTGAAGAACTCTAAGCGCTGCGGAGCCTAACGGACCCAGCGTGTACCTTAAGAAGGCTATAGGGGTCTGATCAACCTCTGGCCTCTCCCCGTGGCTGAACGATCCCGCGACGAACCCCTTCCCTGCGCGCAAGTTCCACGGAGCCTAGCAAACTTCGTGTGAGTGTATCCAGAGCTCTTCTCCGAGTTGTTTTCTTCTGTTGACACGGCGGGCTCGCGTGTTTAGAGCCTTCAGCCGGATTGGGCTAGAGTTCGCGAGTTTAGAACTCTTGTCCGCTTTTCTTCTTTCTTGTCTGTAACTGCAACTCAAGAAAGTTTTCCTGCCTGCACCGCGACCATCTACGGTGTAAGTAAAATAATCTTTAATCAACCGCTATGCGTCCGTGCCTAATTCTAGTCCACCGGCCTGCATTCCCCGACCCACGTGCCAGGGCTGCTGGCCACAGCCCGCCGCACGCCCCTGAGGGCCTCGGACCGCTCCCGGCCCGCACAATAGGGTACCTCTGGGTTGATGTGGCATAAACTGTATACCTTTTGAAACTCTTTCATAGCTCAGAGTAGAATGAAGATCTGCAAGCAAGTATATCCACAGGAGAAACAATTACTATTGACCTTCCAGTTTGCTTATGTAGATAAATGCAATTTGTTAAATTCCTTTTGAGATGTTATAAACTAACCTGATAAAAATATTCCCTTTAAAGAATACACAATTCAGATGAATGACATAAGGAGTTACCAGGAGCACAGCTGGAAAGACCTTTTGTCTTGAAATCATCTGAAAACACTTGAGGCAGATTATTATGTACAATATGTTCTATTTAAATGCATAGCTTTGGGACTGAAAAAAAGATTTTGTGCTTAGCCCAGAGTATTCACTTATTCAGGCTCCATGTAAACTGAGCCCAGCAGGTACCCTGCACTGTCAGTGTTGAGTTATTGCCAGCTGTGAAAGTGGCTAGCTCCTGTCATTTTTTTCAAGGCTTCTAATAGCAGTCCTGTTACAGCTGCTTCCCTTCCACACTTCTGTTAATTGGAGTTACATCACAAGGAAGACAGCAGGGCTTGAGAAGGTGGACCACACTTGCATAGTTTATGCACTCAACTGGTATGCAAATAACCAAATTATGCTATATACATATCATGCTGTATTCCTGCTTATCTTGTATGCATGTAAGTAGAGTACACAGTACATACTTCACTTAATAAATAGAGTTTATAGTATGATAATCTGGGTCTATGTTGTCAGAATGGATGGAGAATTTTCAAGACTCAAATTAAGTAAAATTAGAATCAGTTGAAAGTCCTCCATTATCTAAACTTAAGGTATTGAAATTGTGTATTTGATCAATCAGTCGAGTCTGACCTCTGCCCTGGGC